TACATTTAATTGTATCGTCTTCAGTTTTTTCATCGATGTCATAGTCTTCAGTGTGTATATCTTTTTGCCTCCTTGGTTAAATTTCACTCCTAAGTTTTTTTTTTTTCATGACATTGTAAATGGAATAATTTTCTTAATTATTTTTGAAGGTAGTTTGTTGCTAGTGTATAAAAACAGTACAGTTTTTTTATGTTGATTTTGTAATCTACAGCTTTACTGAATTCTTCCATCAGCTCTCACAAGTTTTTAGTGGAATCTCTAGAGTTTTATACATATAAGAGCATGTCAGCAGAGACAGTTTCACTTATTCCTTTGCTAGTGTGTTGATTTTGATTTCTTTTTCTTGCCTAATTGCTATGTCAAGGATGTCCAGTATTGTGATCAGAAGTAGTGAGGGTGGGCATCTTTGTCTCCTGTCTGTTCTTCAAGAATAACTTTCAGCTTTTCTCTGTTGAGCACAGTGTTTCTATGGGCTGGTCATACAGGCCTTTCCTGTGTAGAGAAACGTTCCCACTACACTGATCATGTTGAGAGTTTTTATAACAAAATGGTGTCAAATTTTGTCAAATGCTTTTCTGCATCTTTTGAAATGATCATGTTTTTCTCCTTCTGTGTTGTCTGTTCTAATGTCTCCTCTTTTATTTCTGATCATTTATTTTATTCTACTTTTTTCTTAAGCAGGGTTAGTCCAGTTTTTTGTTTGTTTGTTTGTTTGGAGAAGTTTTTGCTATAAGGCATGTGCACTCGCCAGAAAGACAGAGAGAGACAGAGACAGAAGGTGAGAAATCACCCCCCCAGGGGGGATGGCCACGTCACAATTCCCTCTCCTCCACACTCCTCTCGAGATCTTGAGCACTCACCTACACACACCGGGTGTGAGTTTAAGCCACTGGGTCCAGGACTCGAATCTCGGTCTACTACTAGCAATGTAGTCATTACACCATCTGCTGGTTTTTTAGGCTTCAAAAAAAACCTTTTAAAAAACTAACTAGGGGGGAACCAGCAGTTGGCGTAATGGCTATGTCGCTGGACTCCCACGTAGTCGACCGCGGTTCGCGTCCCGGCCCCGGTGGCTTAAAACTCATGCCGGGCGCGTGTGCGTGCGTGCCCAAGATCCCGAGAGGAGAATGGAGGAGAAGGGATTGCGGTGTGGCCATCCCC